AAATGGTAATAGCAGAAATGAAACATAAGGCACAGGGGGCCTCTACATATGTACATACATATGTACATACTTGGCTACTAGCAATCATTTTTGGTAGAAATTAAAAAGATTTGTTTTTCTGCTGCAATAACTGCGTTGCAACAATTTATGTAAATCACATACAAATACAAGTATTTCAGTCAAAAAGATTTAACAATTGTATGTATGTTTGTACAGGCCTAAGTGAACATATATATATATGTACATATGATTATTAACCGCATTGGAGCATAGGGTAATAGGTAAATCTTTCAATTAGCTTTAATTAGATATGTTTGCTGCAGCAAATCTAAGGTTCTCCCAAAGAGAGAAATTTTAATAAATTATTTGATATTTGGGCTTTTATTTGCTGAAGAAATTTCAGATATAAAAAAATTATGAAGAAGAAAAAATTGAATGAGACACACGATTTTAAAGAAATTAAAAACCCTAGTTGTACATATTTTTTACTCTTCGAGCAGGGTCAAAATATGTGTCACGTTATTTAAAATCGAAGCTAAAGGTGGGAAAGCTCTATCATATAACCAGGTTAAAACAAGCTTACCCTAATAAAATAATTTGCAATTGCATAGAATGTTCTATTCTCACTTGTTATATAGGAACGAAAGGAACAAAGCTAATGTCAACAATTCAAAATTGTGAATAGGTTCTTTTTTAAGAAGCTGCGTAGGTGCCAACAACGTGTTTTGGCTATACAACGCAGTTGGGCGATTATAATTTTTGTTATTTTTAACAAAACGCGCCCATAAATACGTAACATTGTTGTGATTTTCACACAAGTCATAATGGTGCGTCATAACAATCAATTGCCGGACAACCTGCCACAGTTGCAGAATCTTATCAAACGTGATCCCGATTCATACAAGGATGACTTCCGTCAGCAATACCAGCATTTCCTCAGCAGCTTGGAAGTGTTTGCGCTTAACCCAAGCGACGAAAACAAGTCTTTGGATGAGCTTGTCATATTCATAGCGCAGGTTAGTCCAATTTTTTGTTTTTGTAAAGTTATATTAAAACGAACAATATAATTATATTAAACGTGTAGGTCGCACAATGCTATCCAGAGGAATGCGCCAAGTTCCCACAACACCTAGTGGATTTACTGAAAAACCATGCTACAACATTAGATCCTATAATGCGCAACTGCTTTGTCAAGGCATTGATATTGATGCGTAATAAGAACTTGATACCAGCCATTGATCTTTTGGAACTCTTCTTTCAACTGTTAAGCTGCCCTGATAAGAACTTGCGTTCCTTCTTACAAACACACATAATTACAGATATAAAAAATATGAATGCTAAACACAAGGATATGAAGCTTAACTCGGTAAGATTGATAATGTTGTAAAGTAAAAAAAAAAGTTTTTCTAAAAGGCAAATTATTTACTAGACATTGCAAAATTTTATGTACTCTATGTTGAAAGACGCCAATCCGAAAGCCGCAAAGATGTCCGTAGATATAATGATTGAGTTGTACAAGAAGAATATTTGGAACGACCCAAAAACAGTTAATGTTATAGCAACTGTTGGTTGCTTTTCTAAAGTTATGAAGGTTTGAACGATTTCCAAATATACATATGTAAATGCTAATAACCCATTTGTCTGATAGGTGCTAGTTGCTTCTTTGAAATTTTTCCTGGGTCACGATGATGACGAAAAAGGTTCGGACGATTCTGACAGTGGTGATGAAGTAGACCTCAAAGGTGCGCTGATGCAAAATCGTGTCAATAAAAAGACTAAGAAGCGTAAGAAGCAATTGGAACAAATCAAGAAGCAAGCAGTAAAGGCTCAAAAAAAGAAAAAGAATGCTCCGGCATTTAATTTTTCCGGCATACACCTCTTGCATAATCCACAAGGCCTTGCTGAGGGTCTCTTCAAACAGCTGCAGTCAACAAACGAGCGCTTCGAGGTCAAACTGATGCATTTAGATGTAATCTCGCGCTTGATTGGCATACATCAGTTGTTTCTCTTTGGATACTATCCCTACATCACCCGCTTTCTGCAACCACATCAGCGCCAAGTGACGCGTATTATGCAGTTTGCTGCGCAGGCCTCTCATGAATTAGTACCGGGCGATATCATTGAACCAGTGCTGAAAACGATTGCAAACAACTTTATCACAGAGCGTAATTCCAGCGATGTGATGGCGATTGGTCTTAATGCGACCCGTGAGATTTGCATGCGTTGTCCGTTGGCAATGGGCGAGGATCTTTTGCGTGACCTGGCTATGTATAAAACGTATAAAGAAAAATCTGTTATGATGGCTGCACGGTCGCTAATTATGTTATATCGAGAACAACTACCGGCGCTGCTGCATAAAAAAGATCGCGGTCGTCTTACAGAAGCGCAAGCAGAGCGTAAAATACGCGCATACGGTGAGGTTGAGGTACATGAAACGATTCCTGGAGCTGAAGCTTTGCTTAAAGACTCTAAGGAGATAGATTTGGGTAGCGATGATGATAGTGACTCTAATGACGGCGAATGGGTGAACGTATCACATAGTGATGATGAGGGTGAAAATGTAAATGAAAACGAGGAGGAAGCAGAAAGTGATGAAGATGTTGACGAAGAAGAAGAGGATGATAGTGGGGATGAAAATACAGACGATGATGATGACGAAAGTGGTGATGATGAGGAGGATGAGGAAGAAGAAACTTTAGACAAATCTGAAAGTAGTGACAAGGAGCATACTAAAAAGAAGAAGTCTTCTAACGATGATGTGGGAAATTCAACTGAAAAAGATGTGCAAGTTCTTGATGTCAAAGAGGCTGCACAGGAATTGGCTATGACGCGTATTTTCACAGACGAAGATTTCAAACGAATCAATGCGGCACAGCTTAAAAAGACTGTCACAAATGCGCGTAAGAGACCGTTGGAAAAAGACCGTGCCGAATTTGTTAAACTAAACAGCATTGAGATGATATATAAAAAACGTAAACACGACAAGGAGTCGCGTTTAGAAACTGTCATGGCTGGGCGGAAGGATAGAGAAAAATTCGGCTGGAAAGATGGCCGCAAAAATGAACACAGCTCTAAAACGAACCGAGAAAAAGGCAAACAGAAGAACTTTGTAATGATGCGACATAAGGCGCGCTCCAAGGTGAAGAAAAGTTTCCGCGACAAACAAAAGGCTATGAGAAAGCATCTGCTGCACCAAAAAAAGATGAAGTAGAGGCTGGGCCGGGATCAGTTGCCCTAGACATTTATTTCGTGTATATAACATACTATAGTTTCAATAAACTGAAGAGTTAAACGTAATCGAACTTTATCCTTTTGTTGTTATTTCAAAGAAATATAAGTTCGATTCGGTAGTGTTGAATTAAAGTTTTATTTAACCTGTAATGAAATACTTACTACATCATAATATGTAATTAAATTAGTACAAATCGGACTTCGCTGTATACATTTCAGTATAAATGAGCACAATAGATAAAACCTCTGCGAATCCACAGACTTCTTTTCGAGTTTTTACCTTCTGCGCTTCTCAGACTTTTTCATACGCTTGGGTCCTTTTACAAAACACCAGTCCACTTGTATTACTTGTCCCATGATTTCTGCGCCGTGTAGTGCTTCTTTTGCAGCCAGTGCTTGCTTGTGAGTTTCGTATTCTACTAGCGCATAGCCCTTTGAGAAACCTGTGCGGCGATCCAAGTTCAAGTGAATATTCTTAATGTCGCCAAATTCACAGAATTTTTCCTGTATATCGTCTTCCTGTGCTTCCTCGTGTATTGAGGTAACAAACAAAATCCAACCTTCAACGGAACGCTGTGGGCCCGGTTCCAACTCATCGTCGTCTTCGTGGCGAACGCGCTCATAACTCTGTATGGGTTCGCGCGAATTGCTTTCGCTACCAAATCCACGTCCCTTGCGATGTTTGACTTTCTCTTTTAGACGAACAATGCCCTCTGTAAAAGAAAATAACAATTTGTAAAATTTTTGTAGCGTGTTAGTAGAAAGCTGGATCTTATTTCTTTGTACTTACGGTCACCATCCTCATCAACCTCAAACTCCTCGGCATTGTCAATATCGAGCACATCAGCCATTTTAATTCTTTATTGAAATATAAATTAATTTATTTATATTTGCTGGAATTTGTTAACAACGCGAATTAAAGCCGGAAAATAATAATTTCACGTAGTTCACAATGGTAGAATGAAGATATGGGCTTTGAAGTGAAAGAATCGTAGGGAATTTGTTGGAATTGAAACATTTTTTATGCTTGCTGAAAAATCTACATTAAAATCAGCGGTAAAATTGTTTGTATACAGAGTTTTGTATATATATATATATATATATATTATTTTACTATGGTTTTGTTGACAGAGTTTTTTTTACTATAATTTTACGCGACCTTCGCAAACGATCCGCCACCATGTTTCAGTTTCTCAAGTTTTCAATTAAATTTCTGTTTTCTAAAAAATGCAACCCTATTGATTTTCCATTCACAATAAGAAACAGCTGTTATCTGTTTTTCTTTTTGATAACATTTTCTTTTTCTGACATTTCATTTTGGGCTGGTCAGATTGAATTTTTCTTACAAACACGTCGGTTCGGTGCGCAGTTTGTGTCGTTTATTAAAATAAATAATGAATAAAAAGGAAATGTGTTCTTAACGGCAAAATAAATATCATTCGTTTGCACTTGTGGGTCCTATAAAATCAACGTTTTATGGTCGTATTAAATTGCGAGCCGCGCCGCGTAGTGCAGTGAACCATTTGATATTGACACCAATTCGGGTTTGATGATGTCATAGTATTTATTTTATCCATATTCCATATTGAATGGCTACTAACAACAAAAAACAAGCAAAATCAGCTAAATTTTTCGTGATTAAAGTTAAAAAACCATAACATATTTGTTCTTTTGTGCAGTGACTATCTGAAAAAAAAAATCAATACCAAGCTAAAACCAATTGCGATTTGGCCAGAAAGCACGCAGGCTGTGCTTGAAATAATCACGAAAGTTTTTCTTCTAAAGTGATCACCAGCTGCTACTGTGGTTGCGTCCATATAACCAGCTTACCCCAGTGACCTTGTGGACGGAACGTCCATCTGTCGGATCTTGAAACGGCAACAATATGGTATTCGAATCTGTTGTCACCGATGTACTGAACAAAGTACTCGGTGATTATGTTGAAAATTTAGACAAAAAGCAGTTAAAAATCGGAATTTGGGGCGGTAAGTAAAAAAATTAAGTGTACTAGCTGTCTATAGGAGTAGTAATTAAGCACGCATATGTATATATATATATAAGTATACATTATTATAATATGTATACTCCATCACGGTGTATTCTATCATTCTTGGTAGTCCATATTCGTATGGGGCGTGGTAAAGTCTCAGCATTTGCTTAATAAAGTTGTGAAAGCCGAATATATTTATTAAACTTTTGCACGCAATTTTCAAATTGTGCATCATTTTTCATTTCGGAGCGTCCCAAATGAGACATTAAATCATCTATGTGTGTCAGTCGCGGTGACCTTATCCTTCAAAATCAGCTAAGCGTACAGCGCTGCGTGCCTTTTATTCATGAGCATATACACAGGCAAATAAAGCTATTCCATTGCTAAAAGGCAGCAACCACATTGTGTTTCTGTGTATATACATACCACTTCGTGCGTGCGTAATGTTAACCGAAATTTTCAACACGCGTTTTTTAAATTTTCCCCTATTGTTTTATATCTTGATGGCGCTTATTGTTCGTTTTCTTTTACTTTAAGTCACTAGAGCACCTGTTGTGTTTGGCATCCATTGAAAAAACTTGATGTTTGCACATTTTCTCAGACTATACTCAACTGTTGCATGTGGTTAGTCAAGCGGACAGATCCCATAATTCTTGATTGAATTTATAAATTGAATATTTATAAATAAACCAATGATTGAGATTTTACTTTCAGCTGAATTAGTTAATAATAATAATAGATTGGGCGCTGTCTTATATGCATGTGGGCGGGCTTCTACTCAGATTTGTGGCGTGCGTCTTGATGTTGTCACACAAAAGGGAGGGACCTACAGTTTTACGCCGACTCCGAACGGCGATTGTATTTTTATGAGAAGCTGTTTTTCATGGCAGAAATACACCTGGAGGTTTGCCATTGCCTGCCGAGGGACGACCGCTGTTAAGAAAAAACCTTTTTTTTCTATATTTTTTTGCGATGTTGCTTTGACCACGGCTTGAGCCCAAGCCCTGCGGAGTGGAAGTGCGAACTGCTTACCACTACACCACAGCGGTCGCCGAATTACTTACTATTCAACAAAAGCCACCTTATCGGCAAGAGTTGTTCCCAGAGCCAGAAATAGCTCATAAGTACCTACATATGTATGTATGGAATACATCCCAGTGGGTAAATTGGAATTCATTACCTTTTTCTACCAAGAAAAGATTAACAACTACGGTTGAACGAAAAAATGCATCGCAATGTAAGCGAGGGGATGATTTGTAGTTTTGAAGTCACAAACAAAACAAAAAGTTTGAGAACTACTTAACTCAAGTATTTTTTCTTTTTTTCACATCATCTCAACAGCTGCTGATGCCGAATGGATACGTGTTCGATTATCGTGTTGTTGGTCAGGGGTTCAAGACCTGCTGCTCGCACTTAATTTTTTTATTATTTAAAAATTCTATTTATAGCTAATTTCATATGATATCGCTGTAGAGAAATTCTTGCGTCTTTTCGTGCGTAGGTTATAGGGGGGCACTCGCAAATATTACCTTTTCCCACTGCGTACATTCATACATACATATGTGCTTGCTGATTTATTAAAATATTTTTTTAATTAAGAAAATTCTACTGATATGAGGTGGTGATAGGGTAGGTTTGTACATACTTTACATACAAGTCGTCATCATCAACGCCAAAGGAGCGCTTACAGAGCTGCATCAAGTCTTGTATTTTTTAAGATATGGTTTTGAATTTTGGTATAGGCGTGTGTCTCAAACTGTACTGACTTTTATATTGAAAAAGCGGCTTCAAAAAATCACAAATGAGGTAATGATGGCGTTGTTGGTGTAACAGCATGCAAATTAGGGTGGTCCTTAAAACATAAAATGAACGATTTTTTCAGTCTCAACCCCTCAATCGGTAATGTCACGGTCACAGATATCGCATAGTCGAAGATATCACATATAAATTTTGGTCCCGATTAGAGTCGGTTAAGGCGTGTCGCAAAAGGGTCAAATGCCTCTATGGACTAAAAAAAAATAAAAATATGTATTTTTTTCATGTAATACCCAAAATCGATACTACTAAAGTCGAGGATAGCACATATAAATTTTGGTCGCGATTGGAGTCAGTTATGAGGTTTTCATAGGGTAATCTGAATTTTGACCCCTGTGCGACACGCCATAGCGGGACAAAAATTTACATGTCATATCTTCGACTATGGGAGGCCTCCATAGAGGCTCCAATTTTTTTATTTTGAAATTAAAAAATATCTAGACGCTGCTCAAAGCGTTCAAAGTTTTCCTTTTCTCTAAAGTAGACTTCCAATAATAATACCGAATTGTTTATTTAACCATTCTTTAATACTAAAGAGTTTTTATTTCGCCCCTATTGCATTTTCGGGGGGTTTTGGTATACTCAGAATCTTTATAGGAAATCTAATTAAAAAAGTTAGAAATTTTTACAAAAGTTTGTTGAATTTTTTTAAAAATTGCACAAAGTTTGAAACTTGGATTTACACGGGTTTTGTTAAAGAAGTAGCTTTTGTTCATAGAAAAAACTTTTCATCAATGTTTGATTCGTTTCCAGTTGTTTTAGCTTAGAATACGGGAAACCTTTTACTTATTAGAATTTTTGCAAAATAAGTGCTTGAAGGTAGTGATTTTGAAAGGTATTTATTCTCCCATAAAATTTGAAAAAAACAGGGCTAAGCAACTTTTTCCACAAAACAATATATCTAGCTAAGTACATACATAAACAAATGTACGAATATACATATATACGAGAAAGCTACATTTTTAATTACTTTTTCCAGTTTAACATAGTGGTTTGTTCTAAACGCCGCGGGCATCTTTCAGTCATTGCGTACTACAATCATCGCTGAAAATTTGCGGATTTCTGTATATGTATCTTCGGAAATTTAATTTGAGTAAGAGCTAGACTATAAGCACACATTCCATTGAATTTGCCTTACATATGGTTTACGAAGCGAGCAACTTTAAATAAAAATTTTAAGACTCAGTAAATAAATTACGCATCATAAAGGATGTTTTCGAGCATTTCTAGTTCCTAAATCTTTGCGTAAATTTAGCTTCCACAATTTGTTAAAATTCTTGTGAAATAAAACACTTGTAAGCTTTGTATTTCTTGGAACTAGAAATATCTACTTAGAATATGTTTTCTGTTTACATATACATATGTATATAGGTGTATGTACATTAGGGTGGTTAAAAAAAAGAGTAAAATCGTAAGGAGATGGGCCTAGGATTGTTCTATACCGAGAACAAAATATACCACTATTTTTTTTTTTTTAAATCAAAAAATATTTGGAGGTCGCTCAATGTGCTCAAAGTTTTCCAAGTAATTTATATGGAAAAAACCAACTTTTGGTAGAATTTTCGTAGAAAAGGCATACAATTCTTGAAAATCAATATTTTTCTATCGGAAAAACATGGTTTTCTTCAGGAGACTTCCAATAATAATACCCAATTGTTTATTTAACCATTTTGTAATACTAACGATTTTTATTGGTGCCGCCATTGCATTTTTTGGGGGTTTTGGAGAACCTATAAAATATAGTTACTATAAAAAATTGTTAAATAAACAATTGGGTACTATTATTTGGAATCTCCTGAAGAGAACACGAGTTTTCCGAACGAAAAATATTCATTTTTAAGAGTTTTATACCATTTCTACGAAAAGTTGTTTTTTCCCCATATAAAATACATGGAAAACTGTGAGCGACTTCTAAACATAGAATTAGCATAAAAAATTCCTTTTTCACGTTTTTTTTTATATTGATAAAAAAATACACGCGCATTAGGATATGGCTACCAGATTTGATAAAGCCAAACCACAGCTATATCTTTCGTCTTTCATTTATTTTTATTTGTTTATTTATTTATTACGGTCGTATGACCTATATACATATATAAACATATAAACATATCTAACAAATATTGCAAAATCAACATTTAAACATTAAAAGTAGAAAGAAGGGTAATTTCAGTTTTAGTTTACAGTTTCTTAAATTTTTCTTTTAAAATATTCCACTAATCGACCCACAAATTTGCGAAAAATTTAATTTTTGACAAATATTTTTCTTAATATTTATTATAAAAACCATATTTTCCAAAAATTTTCCCTAATAAAAATAAAATAAAATTTGAAAATATGTTTAGAGCTGTCTTTACACGGGTCGATATCCTAGTCGATTTTTGTCGTTCAACCAAAATCGACCAGTGTAAATGGCAATTCAACCGTCAAATGTAGGCGTTTTGGCTAGCCGATTACTCATTAGATTTTCCAATCGACAGAAATCGACCCGTGTAAAAGCAGCATAATATTTTAGTGTACCCAATGAGCATAGGCCTGCGAAATTTTACTTCCCCCCTCCAATAATTATCTAGTTTTTTTGAATATCTAGGTGCATACGCCACTTAAAACCCCTTCCAGAGAATAAGATAAATAAATTCTCAGATAAGGCTTTCATCCAAAATCGCTTAGGCGGTTACAGTGGAAAACAAGAAGAATTATGGCAGCCGGTTCTACGTACCGGAATGACTCGGGTTTCACCCGACCAAGGGCTGTTGTTTCGGCGATCTAACCCCGTTTAGGTCGGCGAAGTATCTCAGAAGTTGTCCGTCCATAGGGCAACATTCACTACGCATTCTCCTACTCAGGGCTGGCATCGAGTCAAACCCTGGGCCAGAAATATACACCTGCTGTGTATGCCGGAGACGTTTACACCACAACTCCACCTCAGTCAAGTGTAATGCCTGCGAGGGGTGGAGTCACCTCAGGGTCTGCTCGGGACTACGGACACACAGACAGTGGACCACGTCGTACGTGGCCCCCTGTTGCTCAAATAGAGCAGCCTCCACGGCAACCCATAGTCCGCCCGTGCAGCCCCACACACCCACACAGCAACCACACACAGTCGCCACAACACAACAACATACCACAGCCACCACAGACCACATAACACACACAACCGCACCACCACCCACACGCCGC